CCCACCCCCCCCTCCCCCCCCCCCCCCCCGCCACCCTCCCCCCTCCCCAACCCCCCACACCCCCCCCCCCCGCGCCCCCCCCCCCCACCCACCCCCCACCCCCACCCCCCCCCCCCCCCCACCACCCCCCCCCCCCCCCACCCCCCCCCCCCCCCACACCACCCCCCCCCCACCCCCCCACCCCCCCACCCCCCCCCCCCCCCCCCCCAAACCCCCCCCCCCAAAAAAAAAAGACAGGAAAACTACCATTGACACATTTCTAGAATAAATTATCATTACCCCCCCGGATAATATCAGTCATCCTACCACATATTTACTATGAAAAGCCACATATTTCACACACAACCAGCTTACCCCCCCCATTATTCCCAAAATCCCCCCTCCCCTGGTAACCCAATCCTTCATTTTCAGACTTCAGGTTAACTAGTCATTATTCAAATTCTAATCACTAGTAGTTTACACATATAAACAAATGTTTTTCTTCTAAGTATTTGAAAGATAAGAAGTAGACAACCCCCCCCCAACTCACAGATTTGCTGGAAATATAATCTTGAGAAAAGCAAATTTTCTCATGGACCAGTCTATTCCTTGAACACTTTGATTACCTAAACCACTACCCCATTTGTACAAGAATATCCGGAAACGGGGTGAAGTCCTTTTTGTAAAACTAACCGCCAGATCCGGGAAAAAGTTCATTCTTCAGAAACATATTTCTGAGTGGAATGTCTAAGCGTCAGGAACCACAGGTATCGGATAGTAATAACTACACATGGATCTGGAACTTCTAAGTGCCAGGTATATTCACTTCGGGAATGTCTAATTTTTGCTTCAATAAAATCAAGGAAACATACTGGTATCAGGCAGCTTCTTTTAAATCAGGAACAGTCTTTATCAGGAACACTTCAATAAACCAGGAAAAAATGCCTTGAAGGGCACTAGGAAAGATAAACAAGAAACCCACTGGTATCTGCATCACCTCGAGAATACCTATTTCCAATTCTCGGAAAATTATAATGGAGAAATGATGATGATATAAATTTTTGTGATGAGCTCTAGTGCCTTTTTTTCAATGCAAACACTCATCTGCTAAATGCCAGAAATCCACAGCCACTGGTTCACATCGCTTGTGGGAGCAAGACCAGCAAGGGGTCAAGACCCCACACACTTTTTTTCCTTTTCCTTCTTTTTTTTTTGCTCAAAATCAGAATCCGAATGATATCTAACATGGTGCAAGCTTCCGAGTAAACTCGTCTCTCCACCCCCGAAAATTTCATAGGCTTATAAAAAAATCATAGATCTCGCCAATCCCGGAATTTTACTTTATCTACAGCTGAGAAATTTCACCCCCACAACGAATCAAAATAAGGCAATCCTGACCATCTGTACTCTGAAATGTGGGAAAGTAAACTGGACCTCCCATCTAACCAATGGAAACTAGTGATAAGAAAAATCCAATTATCTAAGCTTCTAACAATCTCCCACTGTCTTGAAGTAAAAAACAATTGCAACTATATCAAAGCGAAAACAACTGAGAATGAGAAAGCCGATTTTCATTTCAGCGCCATTAGTAAAAGGTCACCAGCGAAGAAAACGATAATACCCCTAACTGCTTCCACTGTTAGTAAAAGGGCATAAACCAGGTGTCTCCTCGCAACCATTTCCTGCCTTTGTTACGCTACAGTTATTAAGAATACTCTTTTTACCAGATTAAAATATACATGAGTACAAATAAAAAAAATGCTTGAATAATGATAACTTAAAACACATATTAACATAATTAAAATTTGCAACATAACACAACACTGTGAGCTCACAGTTCATCACTAAACTTGCTATTTTCCATAACAATATTTCTTACACTTGTAATTCTGTAATAAAACATGGATATCCATATACATAAAGAAGAATGTCTGTTTGTGTGTTTGTTTGCTTTTTCACGATACACTCAGTCACTACTATGCCTACTGTCACCAAACATTCTACAATTCTTTTCTGGATCCTGGGAAAGGTCGATGGCTACATTTTTTTTTTTTAATTCAATATATATAAATATTTTACGTGAATTTAACAAACTTCTGATGAATAAAAACTCAGCAATCTGAAAGCTTTGCATTGCCACTCTGCAAAAGTGTAAGATATATATGTTTCAAATTTAATCAGAACACATGGTGATATAAAAAACTTTTATTGCCACTCGGGAAAACGCAATTATATTAATTTGTCTCGAATTTAATAAAAAACTCTGCTATTTAAGAGAAATGTGTTGCACTGCTCAAATTAAAATATTTCAAAATGTGTTATAGTTCAGAAAAGCATAAGATATTTAATTTTGCGTGCAATAACATGCACGCATCAACATGAGTCTTATTGCATCACGTGCATTTTCTTTGCTTTTGAAAGTGAATTTGTAATAGACATCACAAAGCCTTACTTTTGCTATGAAATCAATTATGTCACTAGAGCAAAAACTGGTTGCTTGATTTGCACTTTAAGCACAATAAAAAAAGGGGGGCATCATAAGCTTCAGAAACAAACTGGCAACAGGAAGCAAGATTGGAAAACGTTCAAGTATGCACTGCTCAAGCCCATTCATATGAAACAAATGAGCAATGGATAGCAAGATTGCAAAATATTTCAGTACGCACTGATCAATCTAGATGAACACTGCACGCTGATTTAAATCTTGGCTCATTGCATTACGATGCTAATTATGATTACAGTCTTCATCTGCATGTGGTGAATCAAGAAAGATGGATAAATCATAATGTATTATACACTACTCACTACAATCTAATTTAAGAATGAATCACCAGGAATGTTGCTATGTGGTTAGAAAAGTTAAATTGCCTGCATCAGGTGGAAAAAAGTATTGTGTATTTAAAAACCTTTCAATAAACAGAATTAAAACATAAATACTTTCTTTTCTTTAAGTACCATTGCAAGGGATGCTGGGTAATAGCTAGTTGATAATAATTATGGAAAATCTGTAATAATTGCCATCTCTATGAATAAAATCCTCCACAATAAAAATTGTGGGAGATTTTATTTTCGCTGTCTCATCATAATAGTTTTGATAAATAAAGTAAAAACTGATGTAGAAGTATGTCAGAAACAATAAAGTTCCTCTCTGAAGAAAACTTATTAAATTGTTTAGAAGACAGTTATTGGTATACGACACAATAGCCATTAGAATCTCTTACATATTCAGTAATTTAAAATTTATTAATTACTGTAGTAATCATGATGTCTTTGAAATGTCTTCTATACCAAAATGATTCTGTATCAGTGTAATAGTTAAGGCAATTAATTTAATAACTGTTTCCTTATACAGTCTACATATCCTAGAAGACATATAGACCAGCAGTAAAAATTAAAGGAAAAACTTAAACTGTAACTTAAATGATTTTCCAACTGAACATTGATCTTGTACAAGCTCTTTATTTTGCAATGCCTAATATATCTTCAAAATGCAGAATTTCTCATTTCTGCAAAAAGTAAATTTAAATAACAGCATAGGAAGTGTAAAATAAAGTGAAGTTAGTATTATAACTTTGTAGAGATACACAGAAACAATTAATAAGACACACGATTTCAAGACCAAAACACATGCTTTACAGGAATTTGCTATGCTGTACAATTAAAAGGTCCAGGAGTTCCTGTAGTAACAAAGCATATTCACTATGAATAGTGCTTAAGCTCCTGGAAAGTCTTCAGTGGGAACTGTGATGATTCTAATTGCTTCCTAATACATCCCACATGTCCAATTAGATTTAATATCCAGATAGTCTCCGGATTTAAAAATTCAGAGAATATGCAAGCCATCTATTGGATTTTTTCACCCTCAAGATAATCAGTCAATGGCACAGCATGATAGAGACAAACACAGTCATTCATTAAGAGAAAGTTATTACAGATTGCACCCTTAACAGCTTGAGATAAAGATCAAGAAATCTCCATATTTTAGCATGCCAAAATGTATAGTTCACTTTGGCTATTCTAAATGACATATGCACATATCATGACTCTACCAAAGCCTTTCACAAATGAATGTGTTTCGCTCCTTCCAGATTGTAACATATCATGAATCACTCTCCAAACGAAAATGTGACTAACTAATTAAGAAAACCTTCTTTCTGTTCATTGGACATCACCAGGGTCTTTAACCTGCTTTCACATGCATTTTATTCAGCCACCCATACAAGCCTTGAAAATGCAATTTAAAATACTCCCTTGCAATCTTTTCCACATGTGCTAAAAGAACAGGAGTAAAGATTTGCATGTTTATGTATAACAAAGATGAATGCCACCAGACTACATGATAATGTTGACCTTAATCTAATCACCTTTTACTGAATATCACTTTAATCTTTTCACCTAACAGACTAATTTTTTATGGATTGAAGTCATTTATTCATTTATTCAACCAGCAAGGCACATAAAAACATATCAGCAAAGTCAATCATTTCCTGTTCTGCATTAATTCAGAAATTTTAAGTCTCTAATTTCTTTAACCTTATTTAATGTAGTGAATGTGTGGAATATATATATTCCAGCCCCTAACAAAAAGTTAACATATTTAACAGAATTTACAGCTTTAAAGCACCTTTTTATAGTTGTTTCTTAATATTTTGCCAGTCTATTTAAATGAGCAAACAGAAAAAAAGACTATGTGACATTAATTGTAAACAACTGCTTATATTTTGAAATTCAAAATAAGTGTTTTGTGGGGATAACTCGAGTAGTCTCTCTTCCCATAAATAAAAATTCATGACACTGTATATAAATGGAAAGTTCTTGTTCATAAAATTTTTTATACCTTAATGTATACATTTTACTTTTAAAAAGTAAAGATTTACTGATTAAAATTTTAAATCATAAAACACATCTTGAACAGCAAGCATCAATCATTACAAATAATTTCTGATCACTTTCATGATAAATAATAATAAATGATAAATAAATAATGTTTCATATTACATTAATTTTTTTAATCTACTTACCAAATTTTGCAATTGTATTCGTAACTAAAATAAGAAAATCAAGAAATGAACTAACTGCAGATCTCAATTTTCTCGGATCTTTTGATGAAATTCTTCTGAAAGATAAAAATGTGAAATCCAAATTAAATCCAAAATATGAAATAATAAAATTATAAGGGTTGAAATACTGAAAATGCAGCTATCAAAATAATACTGGTCACAGAAATTAATAGTATTTTACATCAATTTTATTTACTTTTGAAGAATGCTTCGTACTTTCCAGAATATTGCAACAGATGTTCATATATTCTAAACACCATTATGTAAAAAAAAAAAAAAAAAAAAAAAAAAAAAAAAAAAAAAAAAAAAAAATTTTTTCCAAAATTTTAGAACTTTCTGCATTTTTACAAGTAATAAAGAAATGCACTTATGAGATTATATATATTTATAATTTGGGAATAATTTGAGCAGAGTGCCTTAAAGATCAAAGAAATTCATATTCCCATATAAAACTGCAGAAAAGGTGACCCACCAGTGGTACGTGTGGCCACAGACATGAATGCAGCTGTGACACACTGACCTGGACTCTCATATATTTTTCATTTTCTAATAAATTTCCCCTCACCTTCTGAAATGTCCTAAGTAATTTTGCTACATATTAATTATACTGAGTCCTATTTTCTTGATAATAATTTCTAATATCTCCAGTTGACATTTTGGTAACCCTATCAATCTTGGTACTTCTTGATTGGATTATATGGGTTATGACAAAGCCTGCAAATGTTATTAGCCTAAGGGAATGAATGATTTCATGTAGGGAATTTTGAGGGAAACTGACTCATACTGACGTTACACAAGAAGAAATTTATGAAAACTTCCATGAAGCCAGCTCCTTTTCCAAGATTAGAACCCAAATCTAACTACCAGTGTTCAGCAGTCTTGCCACTCAGCCAGTAGTGAGCACTTTTGAAACATAGATATGAGTATCGTGTTCTGTTAGTGGCAAATTCTGTAAGCTATACTTATGTGACATTATTAAATGTTCAGCTACTAAGTGAAGGAAAAATGAGTGAGCTTTACATACTGAAAGTTAAGATGATAGTTCCCAGAAATGGAATTTTTACGTAAAAGAAACTAGACATAAAGAAACATATAAGGATTACCAAATATAGTGTGTTCGTAATTTAATCCCCAGATGACAAAGTTAAACTGAAACGTAATTTTACGAAGTGACAGAAAATAAATTTATAACAATATAATCTTTAGTTCAAGGAATTTCGTCTCTTCTAATAGGAGAATGGAAACAAGGAACTTGTTTGTATACAGACAAAATGATGTCATGTATTGAAAAAGCAATAGGTGTTCTCTGATTATGGGAAACAAAATGTTTGAAAACAGTTTAGAGGTGATTCCAACATGAATTTAACAAGCCTCCACCAACGAAACAGTTAAATTAAAAGATGGATAAAACAGTTTTGAGTGATTTAACATGTTTTGCATAAATTAGGTTCAGCTAGGCCAGGCATCAGTGATAAAAATGTTTCCACCATTTGAGATGTATTTGTGTGCAGTCCCAATAAATCCATTTGCCATGCCAGTTTGCAAATAGGAATTCTCAGGTCGACTATTCATAAAGTTCTTCATGAATGGTTGAATCTGACTGCATATAAATTGCTGATCAGCCTATATATCAAACCTAATGATCGAGTCATTTGTAAGGAACTTTCTATAGACATTTTTGCCCATATAAAAAATTATGACCAATTTCTTTACAAAATCATATTGTGATGAAGCAACATTTCGTGTCTGAGGAGAGGTTAACCCACATAACTGCAAGATTTGGATGTCATAACTGCAGGATTTGGATGTCATAACTGCAGGGTGTAATGGAAATTAAGTGAGACAGCCATAAGTTAATGTTTGATGGGCATTAACTCATAACAAAGTGACTGGTCTCTTCTTTTCTCGAAGCCATCAGTTCATTCGGACAGTTACTTTGTTATACTGAGACTGCTTTTGGTACCACAATTAGAAGAAATGCAGCCAAACATTTTTTCCAATTAGGATGGGATCCCCTATCATTGTGCTACACATATATATGTGCTCCTTGAGGAAATATTCCCAGATCATTGGATTGGTAGAAGTGCACTAATTCCATGGCCAACCCGTTCTCTGGATGTCACACCACTTCACTTCTTTTTCAGGAGATATCTGAACAACCAAGTTTATGCTACAGTAATTCGCAGCATCAAAGAATTGAAAAATCAAATCACCAGAGAAACACCTACTGTGACTTCACTAATGCTTAATAACCTCTGGAGGGAAATTGAGAATAGACTTTATATTCTCCGAATAACTAATTGTGCTCATATTGAGTGTATTACAGTACAAAGTCCGAAATCCAGACTCGTCGGGACTGTTATATAGAAAATAATTATGTTTTTATGTTGGTGTTTAAATACCTTTGGACTTTGACTGATGGTGCCGGACAAAAATTAACAAAAAAAAAAATCAAAAATCAAATAATTCACATTCAAGATCTAATTCATAATATTCATATATCGTTTCAACATTCTTAAAAATATTCGTATAGTAAATCGATCAATCAATCGTATATCATATCTATCAATCAATCGTATATCATATCTAGCAATCAATCGTATAGTGGTATAGTACAATTTAACTTTTTAGGTTTGCGTTGTGAGTAACCTATGTAAAGGGAAATATCAATAACTCCAAATTCAATTAAACTCCATGTTTCTTAAAAGCCTCCCGGCTCAAACAAATGGAGGGACATGACAGACCACAGTAAATTATATGCTACATAAATACACAAATGCAATTAAATTTTAAACACACATTTATTAAATTCTTGAATATATCATATAATTAAATAATGGATAACTGATCAGTAATACATATTTTTCTAAGCAAAATAACACATAATACTACACCAAATTACAGCTTACATTAATTAAGATCAACATTGTTATTTTTTTTTTTTTTTTCAATACATTAGGTTGTTAACAAAATTTAATCCTCCAAATAACATGTTCTTATTAATTAGAAAAGTAACGTTTTTCTAGCTCACAAAATTCAGTAGGTGAAACAAATTTTAATCCTCCCAAAACTGGCCTTCACTTGAAATTATAAAATAACTTCTCAATTTTTTTAAACTGTAATATTTAATTTAATAGTAATAACAATATACTGGTAGATAAATCACTATTAACTGCGTTCTGCATTAGGGAAAACTAAGAAAGAGAGAGAGAGAGAGAGAATATACTTAAAACTTAAAAAATTCACTCACAGATGGAAAAACAGTTTTTCTGATTAGCCGGATCCTTAGTGTCCAATCCACATGGAAATGAGCCAAGCCCATTTTTCTTTACTGTTCATTAGGTGGGAACCAATAGTCCCAATTAGACGGATCTTTTTTCAATTCAATAACAGGTAGCTGAATAGACACCAGTTTTAGCACAATCCATGCATATCATCGAAGCGTCGAGGCAAACATTTATGCTGAATGTTTCGGAAAAAGGCTCTTGGAGATTAACCGGCGATTCAGGTGAAGAGAGAGAATCTGTGCTAAATTTTCTTGGTAGATTTTTTTCTATGCATCTCAAGCAGCTCTCAGTAAAAAGCTCTTTGTAGCTCGCACACAGTTCTCCATACATCACGCAGGGAAATGTTCCTTGCATCTCGCACAAAACTTTTAAATATCCCGCAGAAAAGAAAACGGTACCCAGTCCCTCTTGCACAGGAAGCCCGCAGCAGAGCAAAGCACCCCACGATCTTTCTTTCTCTTTCACATCGCGGCTGCTCAAAATTTCACTCAAATCAAAATCCGCTACAACCATCACATCACCGCAGCCCGCTTGTACAAGTCGCTCGCCCCGCAAAACTTTCTGCTTCTCCTTTCCTTTTCGCTCAGAAATCTGAATCAGAATGATCTCTAGCCTGGTGCAAGCACCCAGGAAAACTCGGTTTCTCCGCCTCTGTGAGTTCATAGGCTTTCAAAAAAATCATAAAATTAAATCTTACCAATCCCGGAATTTTATGTTATCTAAATTGAGAAAATGACACACCCATGGCGAATCAAACACCAGAAAATCTGACAATGCAATCCGAAAACATCTGCACATATAACGTGAGAAAAAGAAATAGACCCCCCAACTAACAAGTGAAACTAACTTTTACGAGTATCCAATTACCAACCTACCCCACTGTCTTGAAGTAAGAAAACTGCAAACTTTAACAAAGCGATTTCCGTTTCCCACGCAAAGAAGAAAGTTTCCAACCTAAAACTCTGTCAAAAAAAAAATCGCCGCCCCTTAGAACTATTCGACTCTAAACGAGCAAAACACGTGTTTTCAACCCCCGTGAAAAAGGGGGGAAATGCAGCTGGACAGTGACCTCTAACCTCCAAAGAAGCCTATGCGTGAGAACGGAAATACAACCGCGCCCTTTTAACAGTAACACAATTCTGTCAACTTAAGGGAGCTTTGCCGTAAAGTTTAACAATATTAAATATTATACATTAATTTAAAATAAGCTCAATACAAATTCATTAAACACAGTAAAATAATATAATAACTAAGAATACAATATGCACAGTAAAATAACACGCAATAATTATATACAACAAAAAAAAAATACATAAGAATTTACATAACAATTCCCCCACGGTACGGAAAAAGAAAAATTTTGAGAAACAAGATTTTTCTACACACACCTTAATAATTGCATAAGATTAAGCATAACTGCAGAATATTATTACACACTTGGATGTAGTCACGGAGAACAGTGATAAGTACAACTGTTAAAAATTTACCTACACTTAAACCAACAAATTAAGAAAATTCAACTAGAACAATTTAAATACAAATCAATTTGTAACTACAAAGACAGCAAGAGTGAAGTGTCACTGATACCTTTAATTACTAACTTGGTAACACAATACAATGCTCATAACCAGAATACAAACCAAACAACTAGTGAGTAAAGAAATAGAAGCATTTAATATCCTAACCAACAACAGAAGCAAACAACAAGAACCAGAAAAAATTTATCAAAATAACCTCTAAACTGAAAGGAAGTACACACACGCAGAGAG